CCTCCTGCTCCAGGAAACCAGCAGGGACCACCCCAACAAGGAGGCCAGCAGCAGAATCGCCCTTCTCGATCCTTAAATAAACAAGGACCACCCCAACAAGGAGGCCCACAAAAACCACCTGGCCCCCCTCGACCAGGAAGCCAGCAGGGAAAACCCCAACAAGGAGGCCCACAGAAACCAAATGGCCCTCCTCCTCCTGGAAACCAGCAGGGACCACCTCATTCAGAAGGTAGTTACCTGTGCTTTTGCTCCTTACCCACTGAAAGGCCTAGGGATCTTGAACCACTTCAGAAATCAATAAATCACACAGACACCCCACGCAGATCCTCAGCATCATGGTCCGAGGCTGGTACTGGGTGGGATTTATGATCACTCTTCACCAGTGACCCACATTCCAGTACTTCGAAAAGATTTGTAGGACGACCACTCATCTGGCATCCAGTTCAGGCTGTATGGTCAGCAAAACCAGACGTTCTGTGATGCCATTTAGATATTCTGCATTACAATAGCATGATCCTTAAGTCTGAAAAAGCTCTAGTGCCAAAACTGATTTTCAGCAACAGGGGGCCTACAATTCTGTTGAGCCCATGTTGAGCAGCTGTGTACCGAGGCACCAGGTCAGTGTTATCTCTTTGGTCCTCTGCCTCCTTCTCAGAGCTAGTGACTTCCAGTGTCTTATTTCCACCTGACCTCTTACAGCACGGATCCACCTCACACCACCCCTGTTAGTCCCAAAGCTGTTGACAAAGAACATTCAAGTCTATGCTTTTCAATGTCACACTGAGTTTTAAATCCTCACATCAACTTAGGTTCTGTCCAGTATGAAAACTACGCTAATTGAAGAGAAGTGCAGGACGTGAAATGTGAAAGGCCCACTTCATCCTGTCTCCCACACCCCAATCCAGAATTTTTTCTTCATATCCTCTTCGAGATGGCTGCGTACCCACGGAGACACATCACCCATTTTCTCCACAGATTATGCCATAAGAAGCTCTCTCTGGCCCTCTTTGCATAGCATATGTCTTAGCAAATGTCCAAGTTATCTCACACAATTTCATACATCTATTATCTTTCTCTCTTTGTTCCAAGATCCTCCCTTGTTTGTCGCTTCGCTACTCCCCACTTATCTTATCTTTCTATTGTTTGTCTTCCTTTTCTCTTCTTTCTTTCCTCTGTTCCCTCCCATTCTCCCTCTGTCCCTCACTCTTTGTCCTTACCTTGCTTTTTTCCTCCTGTACCAGTGATTTTTCTTACTTGCTTCTTCATGTAGTTTTCAAGTCATGTACCATTCCGTTCTGTAATTGTATGCTTTTAATTTTATCGGTCTGATCATGCCAATGGTCACTTTGATAGGTTTAAATTTCATTGTAATTAGGTGTTGTGTTGTTCCTCCTCCTCAAAATATCTTCCAAAATATTTGTAGCAACAAGAAGTTAAACAGCTTAGGAATAATCTTCATTTCTTACTTTTGCTTCCAATAATTTAGAGCACATTATGTTCTGACAGTCCAAGAAGAATTGACAAGGAGAAATTTGGAAGAAAGTGGAAGGACAAGGTCAGAGGGAGAGATGTTTCTGTTTCCCCTCCCTCGCTTCAGTGTTACTAGTAAGGTATCCTGAACTTCGTGCCATATGGCATCTCCTCGGTAACGTTCTTCCTTTGTTGTTTCAGAGAGTGAATGAGAAGATGATGCCCTTCAGAAAACTAGACTATTGGTACCTTGGACTCATAGATGTTTCGCCCATATTTCAATAAATCATGCAGCATGCAATTTCTGGTTGTCGTTTCTTAATCTTGGTGCTGGGGAATCTTGAATTTAAGAACCACTGATGCAATTTTTGAGATCCTGTGCTCTTTCTTGTTATTCCTTTGCTTGTGATTAGTCACAGTGCAGGCCTTGGGCAAAATGTCTTCCATCATTGTGATTCTTCTTGTAGTCTATAGGAAACATGAACGTGCTCAACAGTAGTTTTAGACTATCTGTTAATATTTGGCAATTCAAAATACAGAAGAAATTATGGAAACCCTGCTGTGGCGGGACCTTTCTGGTCCAAGCCCAGGTGCAGCGTGGGTGAGACCCACATCCACCCCCTTGGGACCGCACCACAACTCCGCAGCCCCACCCCACACTCCCTCCCAGTGTGTGAAAACATCTGCTGCGTACTCAGACCCCGAGATCCAGTCCTAGCCCAGGCCCCGTAAGTGTGTGGAGAGAACTTCCTCTCCTCCCTACACCATCTTGTGCCCTTCAGACTCAGCTCAGGCCTGGCATACAGGCCTGTGGTGAAACACTGCAGCCTCATGTCCTGCTGAGAGAGTAGAGGACAGAAACACCCAGCTAGTCCAGGAGTAGAACATCTTGCCAGAGGGGCACAACAGGTTCACTCCATGAGGGCAGCAGGAAGCAGCTCTGCACAGCAGCCAGGCCTAAGCCAAGCACAGCAGGATAAATTCAAATTTGGTAGATCTGCACCTAAATTTCAGTAGGTGCTAAGGTTATAACTGCACCAAAGCTCTACAACAAGGCTCAGAAGACAGAGCTATAGAAAATGACAACGAGAAGCAGCAAAATGCAATCTCAGACCCCAAGCCCACCCATAACAAGTGCAGAGGACAATAACACAGAGCAAATTGGGAATCACACAGCTGAAATCAATGAATCAACAGCTTCTGAAATAAACAACTGCAGGAAAGTACAGAGGAACTCAGATTGGAAATGAAAAGAGAAACCCCTGAACTAATAGCATCTGCAGTAAAGAATCAAGTGCAGAGTCATATGGAGGAAACTCAATGGCCACACAGAAAAAGTGCAGCAGACACTAGTTCAGCTGTAGTGTGTGAATTAATAGCGTCAAAAGCAAATAAACAACCACAGAAAGCTGTAGAGGAACTCACAGCAGAAATCTTTTTTGAAATAAAAAAGAATTCTCTGAACTCATGGAATCTGAAGTAAAGAATCAAATACAGAAAAATAGGGAAGAAACCCAAACTGCAAAACCAATCTGCAGTAAAAGAATTAATAACTGCTTCTAAAGAAGACATTGATTAAAAAGGAAAACAGGAGAAGATTAGAAAAATGATGGATTCCTTGAATGAGCAATTCAAGGAAGAAAGAGATTGCAGGAAGCAGACTCAAAGAGATATAGAAAAACTTAATATCTCAATCACAAGCTTACAAAATCATTTCAGTGAAAGTGAAGACAGAGTTTCAGATCTTGAAGATGCTGATGCAGCTAGTGAAAAGGTAAGAAAAGATCTCTGAAAAACAACTAGGAAGAAGAAAAAATAATCCATCACTCACACGACGATGCAAAGATGAACAAATTGAGACTAATACGTATCAGTGAGAAAGATGGAGTCAATACAAATGACATTAAAAAAAATATGGGCAGAAGAAATAGCAGAAAACTTCCCAAACATGAGGAAACAATCTGACATTCAGGTAACTGAAGCATACAGAATGCTAAGTAAACTCACCCCAATTAATAGCGCACCGAGGCATACAATAGTCAAGATCCCAGATGTGGAGCACAAGAATAATATACTGAAAGCCACAAGAGAAAAGAAGCAGAGACCCAGTCCTAACCCAGGTCCAGTGAGTGTGTGGGACAGCTTCCTGCTACTCTGCTCCCGCGGGAATAATCCCAGCCCAGGCGCAGCGTGGGATGGACCTTCTCCCACCACCTTTGGCCACCCCCCACCACCCCGCAGCACATCCCCAATCCCGCCCGCCAAGTTGGAATTTCTGCTGCGATCCGGGAACCCCCAGACCCAGTCCTAGCCCAGGTCTCCTGAGTGTGTGGGAGAGCTTCCTCTTCCCCCTACTTCACCTTGCCCCCTCCAGGCACAGCTCAGCCCTGGCATACACGCCTGGGGTGTAACCCTGCAGATGCAATCCCTGTAGAGAGTGTAGAGGATAGATCCAACGAGCTAGTCTGGGAGAACAACATCTTGCCACCGGGGCACAACAGGTTCACCCTCAAGGGCAACAGCCGGAAGGCGCTGAGCACAGCAGCCAGACCCAAGCCAGACACAGCTGGATAAGTCCAAACTTTGTAGAGCTGCACCTAAACTTCATTACGTGCAAAGGATATAACTACAGCAAAGATCTACAACAAAGGTCAGAAGACAGTGCTACACAAAATGACGAGAAGGAACAAAATGCAACCTCAGAACCCAAGCCCACCCGTAACGAGTGCAGAGGACACTAACACAGAAAAAATTGGAAATCACACAGCTGAAAGCAATGAATCAATGGCTTCTGAAATAAAGAAACAGCTGCAGAAAGATATAGAGGACCTCAGATTGGAAATAAAAAAAGAAATCCCTGTA